CCCTTTTTTTTCTATAAGCTTCAACACCAGACTCCAGCTGTTGATAGAAATCCAGAAGAGCACCTGCAATAATACTCTCCCATGCTCTTCCCCTATCTTATCAAATAGCAATGTCCTTGAAAAGAAGTCTCAGTTCTTTCTCAGCTTTGTCTGGTCAAGAGAAAAAAATATATTTCCAAGCCTCTAATTGGCAGTGTTACAAAGTTTCTTTTGCTTTCACTTTCCCCCTCCTTTTCCAAACAAAATATAATGAAAATTAATTAAAAAGGGAAAAAGATATTTAAAAAGATGACTAAAAGGGAGTCTCTAAAATATTATAAAATCAAAAAGGAGAGAAAGAATAGGTGGAAGAAGAAAAAACCAGTCCAGTTTCAAAATATAAAATCATGTATAGAAAATCCAGCAATGAGGGGGAAAAAATTACTTTGACATTCCTGTTTAAAATCGCCGCTTAATCACTTTTGTCAAAACTTTTACAGATTCTTTCTTTTCCTTAGGGCGTCCTTTCAAATCTTAAAATAAAGAAAAAGTTCTCACCAAACCGGCACACTTTCTCTTTCCGTTCTCTTTCATTTCGGAGCTGTCCCAACTTCAGCAGCTTTAATGGCTGCTTTTTTGCCGCTGGCAAAAAGAGCTTCTCCTGGATCTACCAGGGACTTTGCGGTATCCCTGGGATCGACAGGATGCTCTTTACATTCACCATCTCTTTGGGATGGTTTAGATCCGATTGGACCGTCCAGGAGCAAAGTTATCTGCAGCGATCTCAGACCTCCAAGATCGCATGCCGTATCGTCGCGATGCCAGCTCTGAAATTTCAAATCTTCTGCAATGCTTGCAACCTAATTTTTTCTAAGAAACTTCCAGTCCATCATATTTTTCCCTAAAATTATTGTACTGCTACAGTGTCCAGCAATCAGGAAGGTTCCCTTCAATGTCTGATTCAATTCTTACAGTACCTGATGATGTGCTGGCACTGCTTTCCCCTGGTTGAGATGTAGATGATGTGCTGGCTCTTTCCTCTGGTTGTGGTGTGGATGATGTGCTGGCACCGCTATCCTCAGACTCCAATGGTTGTGGTTTTGACTCTTTTGGATCTCCTTTTGTTTTCTTGCCAAAGAAAGCAGCCAAACTCATTTGCCTTTTCATCTTGGTAATATGCTGCAAAAAAAAAATCAACAGTGTAGTGGTTTGTTGTTGTAAGTTGAGTGGTGAAGGCAGTGGCAAGCAAAGAAAGCAGGCAAGGAATGGAGATCAGTAATATTCAGTTACTTTTAAGAGTCCCTGACACTATAGCTAGTTAGTGTTTAAAAGATGTTATGGAAGAGGAAAAAGTTTCACCAGACAAGACTGAGACAAAACTGAAAGTGGATTTGAAAATGACAGTCTATAAAAAAGATGTTGCACTGCGTCTATAAAAGAATGGCTGATATTTTCATAATTACAATTCATTAATTGAAAAAGAAACACTTAAAATGGAAATACTATTAACAAACCCAGGGAGTTTATTATTTTGTGCCAGTAGTGGCACAAAAATCTTTCCTAGCCAAGACTACTTACCTGGACCAACAGTCACTAATGGAATGCTCTCTCTATAACAGAGAGAGAGAAGACGGGAAAGCCATGTTTGGTCACCTAACCTTTTTAAAATGCAGCTTAAAAATGTACTGAAGCTTTTTACAGCTTACAGATATATATATATATATATAGTACAAAAAAAGATAATAGTACAAAATCATCTAAGAAGTTAGATTAAGAATGGAATTGATAGGCACATTCACAGAGCAATACTGAATTCTTTTTCTGAAATTTATTCCTCAGTTTAAAAAACTGGAATATATGATTTAGGTTCAGTATTGTGCTCTTCTAGTACTCAAACAGATATTCAAGATTGTGTCAAAATTAGCAAAAATGGTAAGGCAACATATAGATTTAAATTTTGAAACCAGAAATATTTTTGTTGATACCCACATAAATAAAGGGAATACAATACATATTTAATGTGTTAACAGAGGCTAGAATTATGTTTGCACAACAGTGGAAAAATGAAGAGATCCCTATAGATGAAAATGAAATTAAAAAATTACAATGTGCAGAAATAGATAGAGATAAGAGGTAGAAATTAGGCAGAAAATGATCATTGCTATGTATGAATTAAATACATGTTGATAATTATAAATATGTTGATATAATTAACAAAATTAGAAATAAGCCAATACAAAGAAATTTAAATAATTTTTTGTTACATTGCTGTTGTTACATATTGATACTTGTTTCTGCGTTTGCTTTTTGCTGAAAATCTATTAGATACTATATCTATTAGACATACTGAAAACCTGCATGCATAAATAAAGGAAAATGCTGAAAAGCAAAAGCAGAAACATAAGTATCAATATGTAACAGCAGTGTAACAAAAAAAATTCATTTATGAAATATTTTATAATACTTTATAATATAAGTATAATAGAATTACAGAGATAAGGTAAAGTAAGGATATATTATTATAGAATAGATTGGTGATGAAATGAACATTATAAGGTGGATTAAGTAAAAATGGTGATTTGCTCGCATAAAATGATGTAATATTAGTAAAGTCTAGTAAATAATTAATAATAGTAATGTGTGTGTGTGTGTGTGTGTGTTCTCTTAAGTTTTCGCGGGTACTTACATGTATGGTATTCAGCTTTGTTCGGGTATTTTCCTACGTCATTATAGTTGTGCTTTTAAAGTTGTAGCAACGTTTCAGTAGAATCTCATCTGCCATCATCAGGCTTCTGTATTGTGTTCGTCTGTGAGTCAGACTTTCACAGCCGTTTCAGTTTTATAAACTAATATGACTAATATGACAGAGGTCTTTGTAACATGAAAGATAAAATATAATTTTATGTTGTTGAAATATTAATTTAAACTTATAAATTTTATAGTAAGACTATATACAATATTTCATGTAGATATATATGTCATTGAAAAGCATTGTAAGTTTGATGTTAGTATGATTTATTTATTTATATTCCACCTTTTTATTTTTATAAATAAGTCAAGGCAGCAAACATATCTAATACTCCTTTCTCCTCCTATTTTCCCCAAAACAACCTTAGTTCTGAAGTAAGTTGGATTGAGAGAGGACTGGCCCAAACTCCCTAGCTGAGTTTCATGCCTAAGGCAGGACTGGAATTCACAGATTCCTCGTTTCTAGCCTGATGCTTTAACCCAGGGGTACCCAACCCCCAGTCCATGGACTGGCACTGGGCCTCAGCTTGCCCTAAATCAAGCTGCGCAAACAAGTGAAGCCCCATCCACAGGATGCAGGTAGCATGCAAAATTACACTCCCTCCAATCAAGTGCATGGAACAACCTTTCTAGATGGAACCAGTCCCTGGTGCCCAAAACGTTGGGGGCTACTGCTTTAACCATTAGACCAAACTGGTTTTGATGTTAGCTTTTTGGGATTCCTTTAAATGTTTGCATCATTTAAAATGCATTCTTACCAGGCAGAGGCACATTTTCCCCCTTATTTTCCTCCCCCAAAACTAAGCCCGATCACATAATTTCGTAGCAAAGCACGGGTATAGAGCTAGTGACTTCATAAGTGCACACTTGGTATACTGCATCCAGTTTTGGTTGCCATGATATATTAAAAAATGTTGAGACTCTAGAAAGAGCTCAGAGAAGATGATTAGGGATTGGAAGCTAAAACATTAAAAACAGTTGCAGGAATTGGATATATCTGGTTTTATGAAAAGAAGAACTAAGAGTGACACTATAGCAATGTTCCAATATCTAAGGGGCTGCCAGAAAGAAGAGAGAATCAATTCTCCAAAATATCTGCAGGCATAACAGGAGGTAATGGATGGAAACTAATTAAGCAGAGGAGAACCAACATAGAAATAAGGACAAATTTCCTGACAATGAGAAAAATCAATCAGTAGAAAATCCTGCCTTCAGACCTCAAAAACCCCTGGAGGTTTTTAAGACAAGATTGGACAACCACTTTTCTGAAATAGTATAGACTCTCCTGCTTGAACAGAATTAGACTAGAGGAGCAAGGTCCCTTCCAATCCTGTTCTGTTTAATTGTATAGAATTGCTGGATGCAGTATGGGGGTGGGGGATGGGGTCCTGCTGGATTTAATACAATTTGCTTGTGATATATTAATCATATATGTTGCTCTACAATAATCTAGGCATGCTAGGCATGATGATGGGCATGATGATGATGGGTATTGTTGTGTCCCTGACTAGCTAAGTCTTCAACCTGGTCCGCATTTTGAGCGGGACCACCGACTGTTCCCATTGGTTGGTGCCGTTTGACAGCAGACTATATAAGGAGCTGTCAAATGGCATCAACCGGGCTTTTGGGGCTCCGGCTCCAGCCAGCCGGCTGCCAGCCCAGCTGGGCAGCCACGTTAATCTGTTACTGCTTCAAATAAAGAAACGTTATTCTTCAGCTCCTGTGTCTGCCTGGTGTGTCCGTCCAAACAAATACAACACTGGCGACGAGGATGGGATGTCAGAAGAGACACCCAGGCAAGAAGCTAAGTCACTGAAGATAGAGCTGAAGCCACAGAATGTCTGGAGCCGCAGACAGTCTCTGCGCGCGCCAAATTTAAAGAGCCTCCTCAGCTGAGGAGAAACTCTCCCTGACTGAGGAGAAAGTCACTGCCTGACAGGCCCTGTTGCGTGCGCCCTTTTGAGGGCACGAAGCTGAAAGTCTCCCTGACTGGGAGAAAGGCACTCTAGCCTCCCGTGCGAAAGGCACCCCCGTTGGTGCTACCAAGAGCGCAGAAGTCTGAAAAGCCTCCCCAGCCGAGGAACAGACGTCGCCTCAAGGCCCGTGAAGGCCGGCGAGACCTTCCCCCCGTAAAGCAGGCATAGAGCCGCCTCCCGTGCCAAAGGCACCCCCGTTGGCGTTACAAGAGCGCAGAAGTCTACAGCCTCTAGCCGAGGCCCAGACGTTGCCCTCAAGGCCGAGACTCCGCTTCCCCCCCACCGACTTGGCCGCCGTTACCATTCCTCTGCCACCGCTACGGCCTCCGTTGCTCCCGCCCTCGCTCCGGCCGCCTCTGCCGCCGCCACGGCCTTTCCACCTCGCTCCGGCCGTCGCCGCCGCTGCAGCCATCCATTGCAGCCGCCCCCGTCTGGGACGCCTGCCGTCTCTTCAGCCGCCGCCGCGTGGCCTCCGCCGTCGCGGCCTCCGCTGCAGCCGCCCCCTGTCTGGGACGCCGCTGCCTCTTCTGCCGCTGAGGCCTTCCGCCGCAGCCCCGCGGCCTCTCCGGCCTCCTCCTCCGCCGCCACGGCCTCTTCCGCCCCCGCCGCGGCCTCCGCTGCAGCTGTTTCCTGTTCCGGCCACCGCCGCCGTTTCCGCCGCTGCCGCCTCACTCCGCCGCCGCGGCCTCCGCTGCAGCCGCTCCCGCCGAGGACGCCGAGTGCCTCTTCTGCCGCTGCGGCCTCCGCCTCTTCTGCTGCCGCGCGGCCTCTGCCGCTGCCGCCTCGCTCCACCGCCGCGGCCTCCGCTGCAGCTGCCTCTTCAGCCGCCGTGGCCTCTGCTGTTTCCGGCTCTTCCGCCACCGCCGCGCAGCCTCTTCGCCGCCGCCGTGGCCTCCGCCGCAGCCGCCCCCGTCTGGGCCGCCACCGCCTCTTCTGCCGCTGAGGCCTTCTGCCGCCGCTGCGCGGCCTCTTCCACTGCCGCCGTGGCCTCCGCTGCAGTCGCCTCCCGTCCCGGCCGTCGCTGCCGCTGCCGCCGCCGCTGCCGCCGCCGACAGCCCGAGCGCCTCCTCGACTCCCACCGGCTGCCGAGCGACGGGCCACTGCCGTTGCAGCTCTTCACCATTGTGGACTCGGTGCAGCCATTGGCTCTGCAGGCCTGCAGCCCCTTTGTGGTTTTGAGCATGGCTGGCATTGTTTCCGGGTTCACTGAGCTGTTTGAGACTTTTCTTCATTCTCTCACGTTTGTTAATTAAAATTCTCTCTGCACCCCCCTCCTTCCCAGTGGGGGATGGATCCTGTATTTAGGGGGTGTCAGGAGCTGAACAAGGAGGTGCGCACCCACCATTAGAGTCCTTCCATGCACCCACCTCCAGGGTCTTCCCCACCTGGGCTTGTCTCCCTTGACAGTAGCACTACACTCCTCAGGGGGGGCGAAAGCTAGGTAGGTGGGAGGTTGGATGTTCTGGTCCCAGGGGGCCAGGAGAGCACAACGTGCCTGCTCCCCCTTTTTCGGCCTTAGGCCTCGTTTAGGCCTTGTTCCTCATGGTCAAACCCCTAGCTCACCAGAGTCACCAGACATGTTTATGCACCATGTTATCTGGTTCCCCTTCTCAGGCTCCTACCTTGCGACAGGTGGGGTGCCAATTTTTGGAAGCCTAGTGGATAGGTGCGCAAAGCAGCTACTAGTTCAATTTCCTTAATTGTACCATTGTATTCCCAAAAGGCTGGGCAGCGCACGCCCTTAGCTAGGGGAAAGGGGTGTTGTGTCCCTGACTAGCTAAGTCTTCAACCTGGTCCGCATTTTGAGCGGGACCACCGACTGTTCCCATTGGTTGGTGCCGTTTGACAGCAGACTATATAAGGAGCTGTCAAACGGCATCAACCGGGCTTTTGGGGCTCCGGCTCCAGCCAGCCGGCTGCCAGCCCAGCTGGGCAGCCACGTTAATCTGTTACTGCTTCAAATAAAGAAACGTTATTCTTCAGCTCCTGTGTCTGCCTGGTGTGTCCGTCCAAACAAATACAACAGGTATCTATAATATCCTATAGCTTCATCTAGTATTATGTTGTAATTCACCTTGTTGAATTACAGCTGCTGTTATGGCACAAGGCTTACAATTATTCAATATATCAAGTGGACTTTTGTTATTTCCACATTAAAAGCAGAATAACAGCTGGAAGGGACTTTGGAGATCCTCAGTCAAGAAACCCTATATCATTTCACCCAGCATCTGAATATTCGGTGATGAAAATGAATGAAAGAAGCTTGCTTTATGGAGGCTATTTCCAGTCAAACAATAAAAGGTGTTTCCAGATGGGCAGTGTCTTGCAAGACAACCTACTACAATATTTTCAAAAAAATGAAAAATGAGAAATTTTCTCACAGAATAATCAACCAATGGAACAACTTAATTCAGAAGTTGTGGGAACTTCATCACTGGAGGCTTTCAAGAAGAGGTTGGACTGCCATTTGTCAGAAATGGTGTAAGGTCTTCTGCTTGGGTGGACTTGGGTGGTCCTTCCCAACTCTATTAATCTGTAAATATGTGGGCATATAGCTCTATTAGGCCTCTATACATATTACTATTTGCCCCTTAGTATATGCAACTAGGTTTTTGTTAGAATAATCAAATTATTTTTTCTTCCAAACACATGTTTTTCTGATTTAAAATAGTTTCCATGAGATGACGGCAGAATTATACTTCATTTATCTTTTACATTCATCATCACTAATTACAGCACAGAATTGAAGTTCTACAAATCATGGCATGAGAAGAAAATCAAGTCACTATCTCACAATTCCTAGGAATATTTTTTGTTGTAAATTCAAAGAAATATTAGAGACAGCGGTTTCTTTCCTTCTTTCCTTGATCAAGTCTACAGAATATTTTCCATAGCTTTTTGCACAGTATGGCTTTCAAAAGAACACAGGCAGAAACAACCGAGGGAGAATGACACCATTGTGCTTATAGCACACACCTATTCTGTACATACCTGTAGTCAAATAATAAAAATCTTTTGCCAGGGAAATATTGTTGAAATAATTTATTGCTTTCTTGTTTCCAGTCTTATAACAATATTTTAACAACATAAGCGATGATACAGGACTTGACGTACTCAAATTGCCACATGGCTGTATTTATTTATGTATTTTATTAGCATCTTCTGCTAAGTTATATGCTATACTCTATAATTTTGATACCTTCTGTCACATGCTGTAGTTATATCTTAAAGTCATACCCATAATACAGAACATCTGAAGAAGAAAAAAACAGGTTGGGGTTAAAGCAATATTTACCTTTTCTGGATTGGACATATATATCTCCTATTGTTAGAAAAAAACTTATTTGGGAATCAGATATTTTTAAGGTATCCAATCATATAATACATCGAAACAATCTCATTAGCATAATATATGTTATGGTTGGGTAGGGGGTCTATGAGTAAATTTCATATGTTATTGTGTTGTCCAGACAGTTTAGAGTTAATGGGATTTGGGATAGTTAGTTAGGAATTGTGAGCTGTCCCCTTAAGGGAATGCATCATGGTAAATGTAGTTAAGGTATCCTGGGAAATGTAGCCCATGTCATGTGGTCACATCTGTAATCGTGATTGGTCACTAAATTGACCCTTGTTGGGTTGGGGGAGGCTCCCTCACTCTTGCCTGAACACAGCCTCGTGGTGGCAGCTCTACCCCCTGCCTCTGCAACAATGGGATAGAAAGATTAATATCATTTACACTACGATTTCAACTATGCAAAGAATTGGGCATTAGATGCATCTCGACATAATTGTGAGTCACCTTGAGGATACCTAATATAATCCAATAAAAGAAACTTTGTATGGAAGAATTTATAGAGTTATTCTATCTGTCTTAATATTCAGCAAGTGAATCATAAGACAGAATAGTTATTTCTAATTATTGTTTTGCTGTTTGCTATTTCTCATTGGAATGGATTCAATATTACTTTTTTGTAAAGGAAGGGCCCCTTCTGTTCTTGAAGCAAAAGATTTTCAGAAGAGGAAAGAAGAAGCCCAGGCAGCTTCTTTTTCTCATTTCCATCTTGCCCTCCAGTCCTCAACCAGGGTTTGAGTCTCTACTGGTTCCAAACACTTATCCTCAACCGCTCAACTGCTTTCCAAATGATAGCATGGATAGTAGTAGTAAGGCAACCCATGGAAACAGTCTCATAGAAAATCCACACTGTAATGTCTTTCTCCAGTCAATGTGGCTCAGGCATATATTTGCATCCAGTCTCTTCTAATTTGATTTTAAATAAATAATAGATTGGTGTTATTATTTTGTTATGAAAACTGAAGAAGAGCTGTAAAAAATAAATGCATAATAAAAAGGCTTACAGATGCTTTTCCCTGCAACAGTAAGTTCACAATATAATATATGGATAATAATATCTTTGGCAAGATCTTCTTTATCAGACTATGGAGACATTATTGATATAGCATTTTAACATTTGGTAAAGCAGATTACATATTATTACTTTTGCCATAAAAGCATGTTTCAATGCTTTACTTGATTAAAACCTTGATTTTTAAAAAATCAGTGGTTTTAATAGAGTGCTCAAATATAGCATAAATTAAAAACTGAAGTGAATTAACAATAGTGAAGTAACCTGACAGTTTCAGGCTGACCTGTAGTTTCTCATCTTTTTAGAGAATGGACTGCTATTCTTAACCAACTGCACTGATTTGTTTGGCACTTTCTTTCAACTGATTTTATGCTTGAGCTTATTCATTTTGTCTGTATCTGCCAATTGCTATAGTACCTAGTAGGGCTGTAATCTTGTGATCAGAAAGTTACACCCACTTAATTCACACTGATTTCAATTTAAGGTCAAGGTACTGGGTAGCAAAATGGCAAAGTACAGCTGTGTACTTTTGCTCACACAATTGTTGCTCCAAAACAAAAGGGGTGTCGGCTGTACAAATAAATGATTACAGGGTTGCATGCAGTGTTCTTTGTGGGCCTCATAATCCTGTAATTTCTAGTACCAGTAAATAGAACTTGCATTCTGAAAGAATAAATACATTCAAATCTTCCCCAGAGATGTGTTTTCTTCTCAAGTGAGGTTTAGAAATGAAACAAAATTCAGCATGTTTGGAGTAAGAGTCCTCAATCCTTTGTACTATATTGCTTTGGCTCTTTCTATAGAAATTCTGAATAATATTTTGAGATAGTCTTCATATTGTTTATCTGAATAAGATAAATAAGTTCTTTGTTTGGACTGATAAACAGGATGGACACATTCTGATCAACTGTTCATTTTTTAGCAATATCCAGAATTATGGTAATTTTTATTACTCCCTTATTAAGTCTTCAAGGGGGAAAGAGCCTGTGGTCCAGATGATCCCTTCCCTAAACCAAGGTTCTGTGGCATTTTAGAATTCTACATCCTCCAAGAAGAAAGGAAAATATTTGTATCTTAGAGTTGAAATGAGGGCTCTTTGGTGTTCTCTGAGCTTGCATGTTTTCTTGCAGATGTTTAAACTAGGGTCACAGTCACACTGATTATGACTGCAAGAAAACAAGTAAGCTCAGAGAGCACCAAGCTGGACATCTTGTAGCCTGCAATACTATCACTTTCTGAGGTTAGGCTTTAAATTGGAGGAGAAAAGAAAATTCATTCCAAATGATATTATGAATGGTGCCAAGATTTTAAATGGCCCACCTTCATTTATCAAACTCTTAGGGGGAAACATGACAGTTTAATATTGACAACAATTATTGTGTCATGAAGGGAATGAGTGGCAGAAAATGTTTATGATTTCTTGGGTCAGAAAGATTGTAGGAAGTAATTTGAACTGTTAAAAAGAGTTACATAAGCATTAAATGGCAGGATTATTCATTAAAAATGTAAAAAGGTTTGACATGGAAAAATGGTGGTAGAAAACAAATGGGATGGGAAAAAGTAATTTTTGACCTATAAAATAGAGGGAATTTTATACTTATTTCAGAAAATTTGTACTTTAATCAAAAACCTTCCTTCCTCCTTTCCTTTGTTCCTTCCTCCATTCCTTCCTTCTAAATACTGACTTTTTAACTGTAGCTATTGTTTCATAATGAATGTGTTGGATGGGGGCACAAACTTGGTTGAAATA